ATGACATACCTTGTACCTCAAATGCAGTACAGGACCACATACTAAGCATATAAGATATAGTATCTCATGCCCACAACCACTTTTAGAAGTACTAGCTGATTTTACAGTATGGTGATTGTTAAATAAAGTTATGATTTGTGACAGAATATTTATTTGTGTGCACATACCATTCAGTTAAAGTAGGTATTAGTTAAAATATTTTATTATAGAAAGGTTTGGAAGATTTAATGAACAACTGGTTCATTTCATTATTTTTTATTCTGCCTCTGTGATAGTACCACCCCTTGGTATAGTCTTATTTCCACTTATATACTCTATAGCCTTATCACAGGTCTCGATACACTTTTATACTGCTTTTGAATTAATCCTTATTATATTTGTCAACAGGCAATCACAACTTCACAAAACTTATGTGAAAACTAGGTTTATTACAAGAGAAATGAACATGCATGTGGAACCCAAAGAGCTCAGAATCTTCTGTCTCACATTACTCTACTTTTCCAGCTTCATCTAAGACTCACTGCTCCCCTTTCCTCCCAATAAATTATGTATGCTAGTCAAACTTGACCACTCCCTGTCCCCTGAGACCTCTGCTTTTGAGCAAAAGCCCATAGTCTTCTCCATGCTTAAAGAGCCCTCCCACCCTCTTTTTGCCTGTTGTATCTATTCATTCTTTAAAGCCTGGTCCAATGAGACCTTAGACAGGAAACCTTTCCTGAAGTTCCTTCTTTAATTCTTAACCTTTTCCTGACTCAGACTTTACGTAGCACTTTTTTGCATTACTCTAATAAACTTAACCGTCATATTTTTAACAAAATATTTTAAATTCAGAAACATTGATATTCCTGTTTCTTCATCATTTTATCAATCTTTCTAAACCACTTTTGGAATAATTGTGATGCAATGCCTTTTTGCATACATTGTAATCCATTATACACAACCACTTCTTAATATCACATGCAAGATGAAAAGATTAATAAAACCACTGCCAAATGAATCATCTTTAAGTAAAATATATATGCTTAGCCACAATATAAAATATAAATAGCTGTTTCAGTGTGATATCCCCATATCAGAGTAAGTTCCGTGATGTTAGGGCCTGTGTCTTATCTAAGCTTCATAACCTCCTCCCATGTTCAACTAGCTCAGCTCTTTGTATGCTTAATAAATGTTGGTTGAACTGATTTATTCGAAAGAAATGGTACTTAGTTTTATCTCAGAGCTGAAGTACCTGCCATTCTTCTCCTTCAGTCCCAGTTAACTGCATGGTCTGAAATATTTAAAGCACTAATAAATGTGAAAAAAAATTGTATAACAGCTCGCAAGCTTAAGTTGCCATAGAAATGCTAATTAATAGTAATACGAGGATTAGGGAAAAATTGCTATCACATAACAGAACCGGTGAGAGTAACAATGTAGGTTCTTATAGTTTGGTTCCAGATATTTTATAGTTTTTATCTTTTTGAGTAATATTATTTGTCATCTGCAGAGAGAAAATTATTAGAATCTGGGTGATATTTACTCCATAAATATATCGATACTTACCGTAGCTCTGACTTACAGCAACCTCAAGCCATCTAAAATATAGCTGTGACAACAGAAGGAAACAAGAAGGCAGGCCTCTTGTTGAAATAGTTGTCACAAAACCCATGTACTTCAGGTATTATTAGGCCCTCACTTAAAGCTTATTGGCTCCGACTGCCCATACAATTCCCAAGTTTGGTGATCTGCTTTTCTAGCCCTCAGAAAGGAGAAGAGGAGCTGCTAGGTCCAAGTACAATGACAAATGACATTAAGGAAGGATATAAGGGGGGAGGGAGAACCTAGGAGTTTGGGCTGCTTTTGGGGTTTTTTGCCAATGAGGAATTCTCATATCATCCTCTTCAGTGCCAGCTAAACACTGCTGTTTCTGGGATAGTAGATTTGGGATAATATCATCCAACTTATTAACCTTTTTTTGGGAGGAGAGGCTGGGTGGAAGAATGGAGAGAATACAGTACGCCTTTTGATTTTGAACGAGTGAGAGCAGAGAATCTCTCCCTTTAGGTTTCCTTTGCATACTTGATCATTATTTTAAAAATTGTCCCTAGCTCCCAAGTTTGCTATTTGGGGTGAGGCTGCTACCCCAGCTTGGGCATGAATTGTAAGAAATATTTGTCGAGTTATAACTTAATTCTTTAATTTCTGAGCTTTAAGGATATGTCTTATTTTGAGAGCCTATAACTAAGTGCAGCTGGACCCTAATGTTGTGGAAGGGAGTAACATGAGATAAGACCATAGGTCTTTGCCTTATTGCCCCGTGTATATGTGCTGAGTTAATTGACTTTTTAGAACGTTACTTTTAACTGTATTCTGTTTACTCTCTTTGATCTCTCCTTTTCTGTTGTTTTTCTTCTTTTACTGTGATCCCCTGAACTGTGTACTGCATAGTTGCTTCAGGAAATTACAAGTATATAGACCCTACTTATGACCTAATGTGGCAAATGGACAAAAATATAAAATGCGGGAAAGTATAAATAGGAAAATATAAAATAGGAACATGCAGAATTATAGCTGTGCAAAAGTTCTGTATTTCTTTTGTGGACAAATCCAGAAAGGGGGGCAAATCGCAACAGTGTCCTTACTCTACAAATTGTATCAAGCAAATTTAAGAGTAGCACACTAGATTTTTTCGATTACAAAGTAACTTTCAAATGTCCCTGCCTCCAGATTAAGTGTAGCCATGCTTTCCCATCTGTTAAACATTGGGATAATAGCTTCTGCGAAAGGGAAATATGGGGGCTCTATGTCCCTAGTCAGCTTGTTGTCAGGATGTCTTTACGTGTATCTCCCCAATATCTGAAAAATGATAGGAAAATTTGTTGTATTTGTTCTCTGTGGTGTATTGTCACTGTGTAGTTCTGTTTGCAAAATTGCCTGTCACGTACTCTTGATTTCTTCCTAAATGCTCTGCCCACATTTCGGGTAAGCCACTACAGGTAGAGAATTTTTTATAAAGACATGGAACTAAACCCTTTCTTTGATAGGTGAGGAAACCAAGAGCCAGAGATGTTGAGATTTGTCCAAGATCACATTTGTGATAATAATGTCACACTTGACCAGGCTTCATATTTGACACATCATGAAGCATAAGTGTTAATTGCTGTTTGCATGATATAGTGTTTGCACAACTTTGTTTTAAACAGCTATTGTATCCTAAGCTCTATAATTGGTCCTTGAAGAGAAAGTTTAGATAACAAATAGTTCTGGCCCTAATGGGGCTTAGAGTATAGTAGAGAGATGAGACTAACTGTCACACATAATCTATAATCAATGGGCCTAGTGTAGCTTCTTCCATCCCCTTTTTGCCTAGACTCTTGGAGCAGTCTTCTAATTGATCTCCAGCCTTCACTCTCTCCTCTCTCTAATCCATCTTCCTCCCTGCTGCCAGCATCTTCCTGAAGTACATATCTGACTGGGTTCCTCACCTGCTCAAGAAGATTCTGTCTTCCTCTTATTTCTAGGATAAAATTGAAGCTCTTAAAGCCCTTCCCATGCTGGCTTCAGCCTTTTTTTCCAAATTGAGTTCCCATCAGTCCCTTTCATATAATGCATTCCAGCCAAACTAGCTTACTTGCTGTTACTCCATCCATCCATGCCTTTGGCCAAGCTGTCTTCCATGCCTGGAAAGTTCTCCCTTCCTCTCGAAATCTGTAGCTTCCTTCAAGTTTGAGCTCAAGGTATTTCCTAGTTTCCCAGTTGTTATTGCAGGGCCTGCCCCACCCTCCATATTACTCTGTATGTATCTTGTATCTGTATGTTTTTTGTTTCTTCCCAGGACAGTGTAAGCTCCTTGAAGCCAGGGTCTGTTTCCTTTTTGTCTTAGTATCCCCAGTACCGAGCATAATATTTGGCACATAGTTCTTAATAGAAACTTGTTGAAATGAATTCTTTGATTAACATCTAAAAGGAGAGAGATGAGGAGTAAGAATTTCATTGTTTATTCAATATTGTCCAAGAAAAGGACTAAGGTTAATTTTGAAGGCAGAGAAGGATAGGGTAGGATGATTCAGAGGGCTTTACAGGGTACAAAGGACCGTATACAAAAAGCTCACAGAGAGAGGCATGTCCAAGAAAGTGCTAAGGAGATTTGTTGTCAGGAAATTAAAGACAGATGTTTAAGAGTAGGAGTACCTGTCAAAATACATAAAACACACATTTTATGAAGCAGTGCTTCATCAACCACTGAATGCCACATAGTGTCTTAACCAAGGCACTCTAGGCCCCAGAGGACAGAAAGACAAAAATGGAACTGTCCATGTACATGTTGATCTCATATCTCTCTAGACAAAAGAAGAAGAGGCTTTGAGGTCTATGGAGTGACTATGGGATTAATGTAACACCTTCAAATGCTGTTCCATTTTTAAGTACAATTTTAATTATCTTTTGTTTCTATATTACCTTTATTTTTCTCCCACTTTCCCCATCCAGAGAGCCATTCCTTATAACAAAGGTGAAAAAAAGAAAAAAGAAAAAACAAGTACATTAACATTACCAGCACATGAGTAGTGTTCCTTACCTGTTCACCTAACACCACCCTGCCCTCCCCCCACCACCTCTTCAAAGAAGGGAGGAAGATACATTCTCATACCTCCTCCTCTGTCATCAACCTTGATGGTAAAGTGATAGTTTCTCCCTAGATGAAAAAAACAACAACACATTAAAAGTTTCTTATGGGGGTTTGCTCATTGATTATTTGAAAAGCTTTTTTTAAGTCTTTTTTCCATAGATTGTTCTTTATATTTTGAGTAAAGGTACTTCGTTTATGTGATTTGTAACTTCACATAGTTTCTGAGTAAAGAAACATTTTGTTATAAAATGTTGACACTTCCAATTTCTTTTGTCAAGGACCTTAAAATGCTATTTAGCTCTAAATACTAAATTTGGAATGTGTTCAATTGTTTTATAAAGTGCTAGATAACTCAAATCAGTGAATTTACCAATACTAAAATATTTTTCAGGAATTGTTCCCTCTTCTGTAGTCCTGACTTCTTTCCAGGTGATGTCAAGAGTTTTTCTAATATGGGCAGTAACACACAGTGTCAAAGAGGTAAGTGTTTAAATTGTAGATGAAATATAATAAGACTAGTAATTAGACAAAAACTACTGTTTTTCAGCCTTTCTTTTTCATATATGTGTGTTATGGCTAAAGACTGAATTCCAACTAATATCAACATCATTTGACTAATTTTCACATTCACTGGAGAAACTTTACTTTTAGGGAGGAGTGGGCTTCAAAATCTTACAGATTATTAGATACATTTCAAATATTGAAGTCCTATAGTGAAGATCCCAAACACACCTCAAGATTATGTGGATAATGTGTGTTGGGCATTTTTCCTTAGTCCTGCTTGCTTTCAGCACCATTAGGCTCTAGGCTCAGAGCACAACCCAAGAAGGCCAGGAGTAGAATGAAGTCGTTAGCGCCTGAGCCACACTGGGCTTAGAGTAGCTTTACTTTACTCCCATACTACCAGAGCTATAATTGGAGTTCTAATCCAGCCTGGGAATGGGGAGGGAGATGAGGCCATGGTCCAGCAAGGGGGTCCCCTTCAGTGTCAATACCTTTGTAACAGAGGCAGAGGAATTTGACAAGTGGGGAGAGGATGCCTCCCTAGAGGCAGGAAAGCCTGAAGTGAGGAAAAGGAGACAGCTTCTCAGTCCCTGGGGTCTTCCAGGAATCATGGCTCCTCTCAACTGAGGATTTTGTCTATCTCTTAAAGCTCTGCCTGCCCCAGCTCAAATTCATCACAGAGCAGAGTCCAGGGAGGGAGTAAGAAGAGAGAGTGGTAGGGTACCTCTGGAAGAACCGAGGGTCCCCCTCCCCTGCTTAGCTGCTCCCTGAGTCATAAAACTAGGGCTTGCTGGTCTAGTGCCCCTGAGAAGAGCCAGATTTCAACAACCCAGCTGACTTTCTTTGACACCGACTCTGGGCCTCTTGCCTCTTCTATGAAATGAGGAAGTTATACAAAGGTGATCTCTAAGATTCCTTCCAGATTTAAGTCTAGACTAAATGATTCCTGAGGTCCCTTTGAGCATAATGTGATCTTTTAAAGTGGAAGAGGGAGGTGTATCTTCAAACTGTCGTTTTTGTCCCCTTTCCAAAAGCATCTATCTGCAGCCTCCTGGCAATCAAGCTGACTTGATGGAGATGTTGTTGCTTGATTTTACTGGCCTGAAAAAAAACTGGCTTTTACACTTGGTTATCAAAAATAATTAGTTAAATAAGGAAGCTACCACATGGCCCATTTTGTGAGGTGGAAGACAGTCTCCACACTCTCACTGCAGGGCGATATGTAAGCCTCTTCATCCCTCATGACTAAAGCTGGGTTGGGTTTTGTTTTGTTTTGTTTTGTTTTTTGCCTCTTGCCCCAGGCACAGTTTGTGGTATGTGCCCATGGTACAAAAAGTCCTAGTTAATGCTCTGACATTCAGGTTCACAGATATATTTGACGCATTAAAAATTACAGATCTTTAAGATTAAAATGTACCCAATAATCTTTGCAAAAGTTATAATTGAGGAATGTATTCTCTGCTTCTTTACATGTTGGCTAGATAGACTCCCCACTCCAGCCAGTTGGCCAGTATTAATCTATAGCTATACATATCTGATCTTTCCACTGATTCCAGTGACCAACAGCCAACATTATTGGGTATTATTGGAACTCAGAAAACATCCTATCCAAATTCTCATGTTTTCTATATGATATAGTTATCAAATTTTTTGTCAGAACATTCCATCATCCCAGATTTACTCTGACAGTTTTTATTTTTATACTGCAGCTAATGAGTTTTCATCTAAATTGATTAAATTAGTATTTTGTTAGTCATGTGGAATTTGCATGTTCACGATCCTTTCATTTAAAAAGAAAACTGATACTATCTCACCACCCAAAGATACCTAAACTTTTGAAGTGCAAAAATAGCATTAAACAATTTTGTGTTTCTACATGCGTAGTAAAAATAATATAAAGGAATAACCCCAGTTGGAGAAAAATAAGCAAGGGACCCCAATAGCAGATGTTCTTATGTAGAAGTTTCAGGTTTTATATATAACCCGTATCAAATTGCTTACTATCTTGGGGGTGGAGAGAATCTGAAATTCAAAATTTTTTTTAAATGAATGTTAAAAATTGTTTTTATATGTAATTGAGAAAAACAAAATATTAAAATAAAAAAGTTTCACATTTTCACATTGATATCGGTATAGATGTACACATTTTGCTAAATATTTTAGTACTTGGTTTTCCCTTTAATTTGGAATCTTTTGTACCTGTCATTTTTTGATAGTCTTCTTCCATATTTTCATCTAGTTTCACCTTCTCCTAACCTTTTTTTAAGTCATAGTTTTCTTTTCTCACACTCAGAATGACCTGTCAGTTCTTTTTAGCAGTAACACATTTCAACATTCTTTGCCATTTTCCAATAGTTATTAGGCTCTTAGATCTAACCTGATTCATCTAGCTAAAGCCCCTCATTTTACAGATAAAAAAATTAAATGATGACATGGTTTTAATGGGCACATACTTGAAGGCTGAATATTGTTCCCTGTGCTAGTGTTAATCTATTGTTTGTACGTGAGAGGTATCATTAATAGAGAGCTCACCTTGGAGTCAGGAAGACACAAGTTCAAGTCTCACTTCTGACATGCATTGACTGTGTGATGCTGAACAAAGCGGTTAACTTTCTTAGTACCCTGTTCAACTCAGTAAGTCTCTGTCCTTGTGTATCAGCCAGAGATATGGCTGGTGAGCAGGTTCCTTCATGTGAAATCCCAAGTTCAAATGGAAAACAAAAAGAAGCATATTTTCATAACTTGTGTAGTATTAGACAGTCATTAGTTATCTGAGGCTGACTCTGCAGTGTATAGGTGATGCATGCCTAACATCACCACCAGAGGGTGTGGGCAGAAGAGGAAGGGACAGAATTCAGGGCCCCAGTCCAGCCAGTGGACAGTACTTGGGTCAGCAAAACTTCTAGATTGTCTATGGATTTATTTTTTAGCAGTCAATTGTCTTCAATCATAATGATGCTTCACATTGGTCTAGCAGCATTTTTTTCAAAGAGCTCTTAAAGACGTTTTCATTGCAGGCTCCAAGTTTTATAAAAGGTATTTACGTATTAGTCATATTTACATATTTACAATTAGTTTCTCCTTACTAAACAAACCAGAAGGATCCTGTATCCATCTCATGAGAACATGGTATATTTCAGTTGCCTTTGTTTTCCTTCCATCTGTTCCTTTTTCTCCTTTTCCATGACATGTCTTATCCTTCCATGCAGTTCTTCTGACTCTTTGTTAGCATTCTGGCTATCCCAGAAGTCTTTCTTCTTTCCCTTTTCCCTTTCCTTTTTGCTGCCCCCTTACCTCTCATTGCCCCTTGGCCAACTACCTTTTGTCTTTTATTGTAGTGCTTCCAAAGACAAAAGTTTGGCCAGATCTCCTCTTCCTTCTACTATTCTCTTGGACAGCTGTTATTTTGGCTTTAATAAGCAGTTTGTTATATAAAGCATTCTATGTGCTGTTTCACGTTTGACCTAGTTCTTCTAATCTGTGTAACCTCTGCAGTATATGTCTAATCTCTTTATCTTCAACTCTATAAATTAATTTTCTGGGTATAGTATATGTTTTTCCTGATTTTTTTCTTCAGCTCTTAGGGTTGATCCTCCATTCTAAAATCTTCATTCACCCCCCTCCTTTTCACAAGTTGTATTTTTTCAAATGAACTTTTCATTATCAATAGTGCCTGCATTTCCCACTAGCATTTCAACATGGACAGATGAAAATAGAAATTTGTTTTCCAATTAAAATTATCTGTTCCACCTTAATGCTAAAATATAGAGGTATAAACAATTCTGTACTCATCACACCCACCTTTCTTTTTTCTAACAGCAAATATGAAGCCTTTCTTTTATTATGGTCTTCTTGCTCCATGTTACCATAGGAAAGATCTCTATTGGTAGGAACCATATATACCTAATACTTAAGAAAATTGGCTTCAGAAACTACTTTATTAGTTCCTTGTTCTGATATAATACTGCCTGAATTCCCACATGCTAACTTTCTTTTCCTCTTTCTTTATTTTCATTTCCCAGTATCTTTTTGAAAAATCTTCCCTTTTGAAGTGTATACCAAAATTCTCATAGGCTCATCCTTCATTTTTACATTACCTTTTTTCTTCATTTGACGTTACACATTTTGTTCACTCTTGCTCCAGCTTTTCTGTTACAGTCTTTACATAAAACTATTTTAAATGCAATAACAATGTCAACAAATACAGTCAAATAAAATAAGGAATAAAATGCCATATAAAACCATTAAATCCTCTGTTTATATTTCAATGAAAAACCTGAAACTTAATAAAATAATAATAAAAATATTTAATCTATTCCTTTCTAATCTTATATATTTATAAAATTTTAGTGCCTTTTTAAAAGTCATACTCAATGAGAACAGTCTAATTTTTATTTTCATATTTTTTGATCATTTGATTGGAAATTGTACATTGAAAATGAGCATTACTTTTATAAATTTGTTGCAATTTCTTACAGATTCTAAAAGTCAGATTTTCACCAAATAAAGTTATCATGAAGTCCCCTTGCCCCTGTCCGTTTCTTTTATTTTGGCTATATTACTTTATGTTTCATAAAACCATTTCCCCTTTTATAGAATTAAATAAATTTCGTTTCCAACAATTTTTTCCATTTGTTCAGTAGATGAATTTTTTTTCTCTTTTCCACAAGTAAGGAAAATATTATTCCTTTATCTTTCCTTTTTTCATAATTTGGATTTTTTAAATATCTAGGTTATTTATCCAATTGGACTTTATTGTAGCATATTATCTTTATACATTATAAATACAGTATCCTTTTGATGTTGCCAATGTGGTGATGTCTACCCATGACTTGATTCAGCCTGAGTTTCACCACCCCCATTTTTCCAGTGGACTTCCCTCAAATTAACATGCATGTTTTATGAGAAGTATAAACTATGTATACAATAAAGTAAACTGTAGGCAGCCTTGCTTCATCCCCCTTTGTTTTTTCCAG